GGGGGGGCTCCGCGGCCTCGTCCCCCCCCTCCCGGGGCCGCCCGATGGCCGAACCCCACCGGATCGGGGGGCCGCGGATAGCCCCGGGCCCGCAACGCCCTCCGGTACCGGACCCGCATCGCCACCCCCCCACCCGGTGCTGACCGCGCCCGGACCGACCTTCCCGGTACCGGCGCTGCGCTGCCCCCCCCGCCCGGTACCGCCCTGCGCTTGCACCCCCTGCGGACGGGCCTGCAGTGCCCGGTGCCGATCCGGTCCCTCCGGTACCGATCGCCTCATTCCAGTACCTACCCCCCCCGCCAGTTCCTATACCCACCGAGACCGAGCCCCGCATCCTCCGGTACCGACATCCCGCCCGGTACCGACCCCCTGCCGATAACCGTTACCCTCCCGGAACGGACACCTCACTCCCGAGCCCGGTACCGAACCCCCGCTACCGATTCCGGTACCGCCATCTCCCCGGTGTCCACTCCATCCAATCAATAACAACCCCCCCGGTACCGAACCGCCAGCACCGAACCGCCGGTACCTGCAGCCGCCGCCGGCGGATCACGTCCGAATCATCCATGGCGCCGGTGCCGGTGCGGGGGGGTCCCGGCCTCGCTGTCCCCCCCCTCCCCGGCAACCCTCGGTACCCGCAGCCCCCCCCCCCGTTCAGCCGCCCTCCGCCATCGCCCGGGACCCCCGGGAGGCGCCGCCCCCGGCCCCGCCCCGGCCCCGCCCAGCCCCGCGCACCGGGGGCGCCCCCCCGCGGCGGGGCGGCTCGGCCCGGTGCCCCCCCCGGCCCCGTTCCCGCTGTCCGCGGTGCTGAACGGCGGCGGGGAGGGGTCGGCGCCCCCCCCCCCCCCCCCCCCCAATTTGGGTCACATCACGACCCCCCCCCCCCCCCATCGGTGCCCCCCCGGTGCTGAACCCCCCCCCCAAAAAACGGGCCCGAAACGGGGGGGTTGGGGTGCTCCGGGACACCGCCGGTGACCCCCCCCGGTGTGACCCCCCCGTAATCCCCGGGATTGAG